TGGGACAGAAGTGATGTGTGAAGTAGGACAGAAGTGATGTGTGAAGTGGGACAGAAGTGATGTGTGAAGTGGGACAGAATTGATGTGTGAAGTGGGACAGAAGTGATGTGTGAAGTGGGACAGAATTGATGTGTGAAGTGGGACAGAAGTGATGTGTGAAGTGGGACATAAGTGATGTGTGAAGTGGGACAGAATTGATGTGTGAAGTGGGACAGAAGTGATGTGTGAAGTAGGACAGAAGTGATGTGTGAAGTGGGACAGAAGTGATGTGTGAAGTGGGACAGAATTGATGTGTGAAGTGGGACAGAAGTGATGTGTGAAGTGGGACAGAAGTGATGTGTGAAGTGGGACAGAATTGATGTGTGAAGTGGGACAGAAGTGTTGTGTGAAGTGGGACAGAAGTGATGTGTGACAGAAGTGATGTGTGAACTGGGACAGACGTCATGTGTGAAGACCAGAAGTGATGTGTGAAGTGGGACAGAAGTGATGTGTGAAGTGGGCCCGATGTGATGTGTGAAGACCAGAAGTGATGTGTGAAGTGGGACAGACGTGATGTGTGAAGACCAGAAGTGATGTGTGAAGTGGGACAGAAGTGATGTGTCAAGTGGGACAGAAGTGAAGTGGGACAGAAGGGTTGTGTGATGTGGGACAGAAGTGATGTGTGAAGTGGGACAGAAATGTTGTGTGAAGTGGGGCAGAAGTGAAGTGGGACAGAAGTGTTGAGTGAAGTGGGGCAGAAGTGATGTGTGAAGTGGGACAGAAGTGATGTGTGAAGTGGGACAGAAGTGATGTGCGAAGTGGCTCAGAAGTGATGTGTGAAGTGGGACAGAAGTGATGTGTGACAGAAGGGTTGTGTGATGTGGGACAGAAGTGATGTGTGAAGTGGGACAGAAATGTTGTGTGAAGTGGGACAGAAGTGTTGTGTGAAGTGGGACAGAAGTGAAGTGTGAAGTGGGACAGAAGTGTTGTGTGAAGTGGGACAGAAGTGTTGTGTGAAGTGGGACAGAAGTGATGTGTGAAGTGGGACAGAAGTGATGTGTGACAGAAGTGATGTGTGAACTGGGACAGACGTCATGTGTTAAGACCAGAAGTGATGTGTGAAGTGGGACAGAAGTGATGTGTGAAGTGGGCCCGATGTGATGTGTGAAGACCAGAAGTGATGTGTGAAGTGGGACAGACGTGATGTGTGAAGACCAGAAGTGATCTGTGAAGTGGGACAGAAGTGATGTGTCAAGTGGGACAGAAGTGAAGTGGGACAGAAGGGTTGTGTGATGTGGGACAGAAGTGATGTGTGAAGTGGGACAGAAATGTTGTGTGAAGTGGGGCAGCAGTGAAGTGGGACAGAAGTGTTGTGTGAAGTGGGGCAGAAGTGATGTGTGAAGTGGGACAGAAGTGTTGTGTGAAGTGGGACAGAAGTGATGTGTGAAGTGGCTCAGAAGTGATGTGTGAAGTGGGACAGAAGTGATGTGTGAAGTGGGACAGATGTGTTGTGTGAAGTGGGACAGAAGTGATGTGTGAAGTAGGACAGAAGTGATGTGTGAAGTGGGACAGAAGCGATGTGTGAAGTGGGACAGAAGTTTTGTGTGAAGTGGGACAGAAGTGATGTGTGAAGTGGGACAGAAGTGATGTGTGAAGTGGGACGGAAATGTTGTGTGAAGACCAGAAGTGTTGTGTGAAGACCAGAAAAGATGTGTCAAGTGGGACAGAAGTGATGTGTGAAGTGGGAGAGAAGTGTTGTGTGAAGTGGGACAGAAATGATGTGTGAAGTGGGACAGAAGTGATGTGTGAAGTGGGACAGAAGTGATGTGTGAAGTGGGACAGAAGTGATGTGTCAAGTGGGACAGAAGTGTTGTGTGAAGTGGGACAGAAAGGATGTGTGAAGTGGGACAGAAGTGTTGTGTGAAGTGGGACAGAAGTGATGTGTGAAGTGGGACAGAAGTGATGTGTGAAGTGGGACAGAAGTGAAGTGGGACAGAAGTGATGTATGAAGTGGGACAGAAGTGTTGTGTGAAGTGGGACAGAAGTGAAGTGGGACAGAAGTGATGTGTGAAGTTGGACAGAAGTGATGTGTGAAGTGGGACAGAAGTGTTGTGTGAAGTGGGACAGAAGTGATGTGTGAAGACCAGAAGTGATGGGTGAAGTGGGACAGAAGTGATGGGTGAAGTGGGACAGACGTGATGTGTGAAGTGGGACAGAAGTGTTGTGTGAAGTGGGACAGAAGTGATGTGTGAAGTGGGACAGAAGTGATGTGTGAAGTGGGACAGAAGTGTTGTGTGAAGTGGGCCCGATGTGCTTGTGAAGACCAGAAGTGATGTGTGAAGTGGGACAGAAGTGATGTGTGAAGTGGGACAGACGTGATGTGTGAAGTGGGACAGAAGTGATGTGTGAAGTGGGAGAGAAGTGTTGTGTGAAGTGGGCCCGATGTGCTGGTGAAGACCAGAAGTGATGTGTGAAGTGGGACAGAAGTGATGTGTGAAGTGGGACAGACGTGATGTGTGAAGTGGGAGAGAAGTGATGTGTGAAGTGGGACAGAAGTGTTGTGTGAAGTGGGCCCAATGTGCTGGTGAAGACCAGAAGTGATGTGTGAAGTGGAACAGAAGTGAAGTGTGAAGTGGGACAGAAGTGATGTGTGAAGTGGGACAGAAGTGTTGTGTGAAGTGGGACAGAAGTGTTGTGTGAAGTGGGACAGAAGTGTTGTGTGAACTGGGACAGAAGTGATGTGTGAAGACCAGAAGTGATGTGTGAAGTGGGACAGAAGTGATGTGTGAAGTGGGACAGAAGTGTTGTGTGAAGTGGGCCCGATGTGCTTGTGAAGACCAGAAGTGATGTGTGAAGTGGGACAGAAGTGATGTGTGAAGTGGGACAGAAGTGATGTGTGAAGTGGGACAGAAGTGATGTGTGAAGTGGGACAGAAGTGTTGTGTGAAGTGGGACAGAAGTGATGTGTGAAGTGGGACAGAAGTGATGTGTGAAGTGGGACAGAAGTGAAGTGGGACAGAAGTGTTGTGTGAAGTGGGACAGAAGTGTTGCGTGAAGTGGGACAGAAGTGATGTGTGAAGACCAGAAGTGATGTGTGAAGTGGGACAGAAGTGATGGGTGAAGTGGGACAGACGTGATGTGTGAAGTGGGACAGAAGTGATGTGTGAAGTGGGACAGACGTGATGTGTGAAGTGGGACAGAAGTGATGTGTGAAGTGGGACAGAAGTGTTGTGTGAAGTGGGTCCGATGTGCTTGTGAAGACCAGAAGTGATGTGTGAAGTGGGACAGAAATGATGTGTGAACTGGGACAGAAGTGTTGTGTGAAGTGGGACAGAAGTGATGTGTGAAGACCAGAAGTGATGTGTGAAGAGAAAAAGATAGAAAGAGAAAGAGAAAGAAGGCTGTGTGACTCAGTTCAATGCATGTCCTGGCCTATCAATTGGTTAGATCAACCCTGGTGATGTCAATCATAGGATTGTCTTTACATTCTCAAAATACAGACCGCCATCATATTGCTGACTGCTGCACTAAACAACATTCAATCACTAACACACTCATTTGACAATAATCCTGAAACAAACAAAGCCATGGTGGAAAAGAGATCAATTTATTTACTTCTTAATCTTTGTAAGGACAGCTCCAATTCACAAGTAGTGTTCTACAGCAGTAGAGCAGGATTACTGTGATACCAAAAAATTGAGGTGATACTGTTTCTAAAATGTTGACAAATGCCAAGATCCAACATAAGGTATTGTGGGGTCTCATACACTGAACCCTATATTCATGAAACCATTGTCAAAAGGAACATCACCGCAAGCAGTAGGTGAGTTCTCTCCCTTTGTCCACGTTCCTGACAGGCATCATGGTCTGCCTACTTGTGGTGAATAGGCCAAGGGGACTGACTGCAAATTTAAAAAATGTGACAGCATCTAATTCACAGGAACAATTGTCAGAAATAGCACTGTGCCAAACTGAAATAGCCAACAAGGTCCAAACACTTTGTTCCTTGAAGAAATAATTCACTATTGATGAAAATTCTTAAAATAATTCATCTTTTTTTCTAACGAAGGCAGAACCTGACATATTCACAGACTTGTGACAGGCTACCTTTAAACCATGAAACTTTTTTATTTACCTGTCCACTCTAATTTTGATGGATAAGAAAAGTTTCAAGGACAAATGCAAGAACATGTTAACTCAATTTTGTTACAATAACGGTTCAAATGCATAGTATACCTGTTATCTCAGGCAAAGGCAAACACAACACATTCAATACAAGCCTTTCTCGGCGATAATTGAACACCTGTAATGGTAGAGATAAACACAGGTTTATCCACTACCATGTTTACCTGATCAACACATACAATGTCATACAAACACACACACACAATATTTTGACCAACCCATGCCACCTGTTCATAAAAACTTCTGTAAATCATACATTATTTTTTAAATCCCAGACTGTAGACTGTACTGCCACCTTTTTCATGAACACTTTCAGTTATATTTAGCACTATAACTTAAGGAAACCCTAAAACAACATCCCCCCCTGATCTTGACAGCAGGAATCTCATGAACCCAATATACAGCCAAGGCACTAACAGGCAAGCAGACTTCCCCCAGATGCAAAAGCCTGAGTTCAGAGCTCCAGATAAGCTGCGTATCTGCGTGAAATACGCATCAGAAATGCAGAAATACACAGTAAAATATAATCCAAGCATATCAAATATGCAACGAACATTACAGATATGCTACAAAAATAAAACTTGTGCGTATCATCAAAATATTGTGAAATAACCCTGTGTATTCGATTAGCAAACCAGCAACTTATTTTGAAATTATAAACGGGCATTCCGTCAACCTTGCCAAACTCCACGATGACAGTTACATCATGATCATTTGCCATCACACTTTCTTGTGGAAGTATCGTGGTATTTTTGAGTCCTATAAAGCTCTCGAACCCCCACGACACCAGTTTGCAGGGACTAGATGAATAGTGTTTTTAAATATTTAACTTAAATACCCACATGTGTAAAAACTAGTGGGTAACAGAAATTTGAATACGCAGATAGAATTACTGATACCCAATGATTTTAAAATGCATGGGTAAAATACCCACAACACCAAAAGCTTATCTGGAGCTCTGTGAGTTAAATGCAAATCATGTTATCACATGTTATTTGGTGATAATGTCTGATAATGTGTGGTGATTATGTCTCATAATGTCTGGTGCTTTCACCAATCACTGCCGCCTGATCCGGCGCCTCTGTACACCATTGTAAGGTTGGTACCGACAACGGTTGAAGTCCACATGCCGAGCCGTTTGTTCGAAGTTGTTGTTGCTGTACGGCTGCCACTGGAAGTTGTCCCTGGATCCAAGGTCTGTCGCATAGCTGTTGTCCTCCATGCTGCGGCTGTACCCACAATCGTTTCTCAGCTTCCTGTTGGTGTCCATTATCTGTCTGTTCAGAGTGCCGCGGTTGATGTTCATGGGGTTGATGTCCTTCAACATACGGTTCACGTCAAGATTGAGTGGGCGACGTTGGGACCGAAGACCTTGTTCCTGCCTGTTCAAAGCTCTGGAAGGAATGGTGTTACTTCCAAATCGGAATACCTCTGGGTTCTTTTCCTGGTTTTTCTGGACGTTACCAGGGAGAAGAAAGCCCCAGGCATCCGAGATGTGAGTAAGCAGCAGGTTGGTCATACGCCGGTGAGCCGTCATGTCCCAGTGTATGCCATCATCGGCACGACGGTGAAGCTGATAACGCAGGAAGTAATGCAGGTCAAGGACATCGAAGTCGTTTTCAACCACGACCTTGGCTGCATAATAGTTGGCTTCCAGGATGTCCAAACGCAGAGTGGAGTTCATGAATTCAATCTCAGGAATAATGAAACCTCCCCTAGCATTCTTTGAAATGGGAAGTGTGGTGTTCCAGATGACCAGACAGTCAGCAGGCAGCACCTCCTTGAACCGCCGGAACAGGGTCTTCAGGTTCTCTTTGTATTCATCGATTGCTCTCACACCATACCTGCAACAGAGAAATGTAGGAACTAACTAACAACATATATCTGCTCACAATCACTGAACAGCTCATTGCCACCTGGAGATTCACAAAAAAAGAATTTATTCAAGAGAATATCCTGAGCTGACGTTGATGCCAATTTCATGTTCAGCTGTGATATCATGATGAGTTAGAAATCTGGGAAGGTCTTGACAATAAACACTAGTATTTCAATAACATGAAGGTATTTGGGGGGTTTTATCACCTAGATTAAATTTAATCTAAAATCTTTAAATTTAAATGTGTGTGTGTGTGTGTGTCAAACCCCATGATAACCTATGAGTTAAACCAGCCATAGAAACTAACAGTTTTAGTCCACTAGTCCTTTTCATGATAACATGTAGCAAAACCTTTAAAAAGGGCAACTTTCTACTAATCCTTATGATACCTTAACTATTGGGCATTTGGCAAGGACTACAGGACTAGTGCCAATTTCTACGCAGGGAAAACATCAACTTTTTCAGTTCACATGTCATTTGAACTAAAGCAAAATGTTCTCTTCATTAGGCATTTCTCCCTGAGCTCACTACAATCAGGATGATTGATAGTAATTCTGGCACAAAGTGTTATTTTACAAGTTCAAAACACTGAGATCATATTTTCAGATAAATCTAGCATTTCATAACAAAAAGAATAAAAAGTATGGTTATCAAATAACAGGTATAACAAATACCATGATAAAGGTAACAAATAAAATCAGAATCTGTTGGGGTAATTTAAGGATAAATATGCAAATGAAAAAGGTCAGACAAGTACTTCTTTCAGTGATTACAAATTTGGAATCGCCTTTGTCTTTCGGTTATCAAGTCAGAATTGACCATCAGGGATCAAGACATAATTGAGATAATTGTCCGCTTGTATGCTGTATAATGCTGCATAATGCTGTATAATGCTGTATAATGCTGTATAATGCTGCATAATGCTGTATAATGCTGTATAACGCTGTATAACGCTGTATAATGCTGTATAATGCTGTATAATGTTGCATAACGCTGTATAATGCTGTATAATGCTGTATAATGCTGTATAATGTTGTATAATGCTGTATAATGCTGTATAATGTTGCATAACGCTGTATAATGTTGCATAACGCTGTATAATGCTGTATAATGCTGTATAATGCTGTATAATGTTGTATAATGCTGTATAATGCTGTATAATGTTGTATAATGCTGTATAATGCTGTATAATGTTGCATAACGCTGTATAATGCTGTATAATGCTGTATAATGTTGTATAATGCTGTATAATGTTGCATAACGCTGTATAATGCTGTATAATGCTGTATAATGCTGTATAATGTTGTATAATGCTGTATAATGCTGTATAATGTTGCATAACGCTGTATAATGCTGTATAATGCTGTATAATGCGGTATAATGCTGTATAATGCTGTATAATGCTGTATAATGCTGTATAATGTTGTATAATGCTGTATAATGCTGTATAATGTTGTATAACGCTGTATAATGCTGTATAATGCTGTATAATGCTGTATAATGCGGTATAATGCTGTATAATGCTGTATAATGCTGTATAATGCGGTATAATGTTGTATAATGCTGTATAATGCTGTATAATGCTGTATAATGCTGTATAATGCGGTATAATGTTGTATAATGCTGTATAATGCTGTATAATGCTGTATAATGCTGTATAATGCGGTATAATGTTGTATAATGCTGTATAATGCTGTATAATGCTGTATAATGCTGTATAATGCTGTATAATGCGGTATAATGTTGTATAATGCTGTATAATGCTGTATAATGCTGTATAATGCTGTATAATGCGGTATAATGTTGTATAATGCTGTATAATGCTGTATAATGCTGTATAATGCTGTATAATGCGGTATAATGTTGTATAATGCTGTATAATGCTGTATAATGTTGTATAATGCTGTATAATGCTGTATAATGTTGTATAACGCTGTATAATGCTGTATAATGCTGTATAATGCTGTATAATGCTGTATAATGCGGTATAATGCTGTATAATGCTGTATAATGCTGTATAATGCTGTATAATGCTGTATAATGCTGTATAATGCGGTATAATGCTGTATAATGCTGTATAATGCTGTATAATGCTGCACAAAGCAATATTCCAGCTATCGGACGGCAGGACACATTCTACCCTGGGACCCATGGGGCCAGAGATATTGTTATCATGAAAATGATACTTTAAGATATCGAAAGTCATCATCTAAGTTGGGCGTAGTTGAGGCCTTAAACAAGTGCAGGCAGAATTGGCAATAAAATACAGCACAGTTCGCATATTAATTTCCAAACTTGTGCTTGTGAAACCTCTGCAGCTTGTGCTTTTTCCCGGAATCTAATATGGTTGGATTTGGCCAAAGGCATCTTCCTGAGGCAAGGGAGTTAACTGTCTGTAAAAGTCCAGTTTCCACCCTTGCCGAACTAAGCTGGAATTTCGGAGTTACATTTTGGCTGGACTAACGAGTCTATGCATACTCCAATGAAAATCGTGCAACGAACATCCGGTTCATAAACAACATGGATTTAAACGTGTAGATTTCCGGCAACTACAGGATTTGCAAAGCATGTGTACTCTCAATTGGGCGCCAACAGATGTATTCCAAATCTTTTCATGTTTTTAATCAAGGTTCTCAAATGATCTGACGCACTTCGCGACGAAAGACCTGTTTTATTACAATACAGATCTTGATTATCAATCAGATCGTCTTGACTTGGTACTGCCATTTTGTTTGCAGCAAATATAAGGGATATGAGAGGTTGATTATGATTGGTCAATAGAACGTACAAAGAAGACTCATAACTCGAAAAAACCACTGATGGCGCTACTATCGAGTCTCGAAATTCCAGCCTATTGGGCAAGGGTGGAAACTGGACTTTTGTAGTCAGTTAACACCCTTGCCTCGGGAAGATGGGCCGAAATAAGCTAAATATTACTTTGTTTCATTTTTATGCTTGTGGGCCATTTGGCTGCACTTCTAAACTTCATGACAACGTAATATGACCAGGTAGACTAAAAAAAGATTGATGTCTCATACACTAGAGTAGCTTCCCTTTGATAAGGGCAAATACTCCAGCATTCGGACCTATGGATTGCCACTGACAAGGCTATTTATGTGTTTTACAAAACATACTTTGCCAATATTTTGATTAAGCTACTGTCTAGAAACCAAGTTTCAGTTGAAAATGCCTGTTGTCTCTGACTGACTAATCCCTTATTGTGACATAATATATTAATGTATACATTCCAAGAAAACTGGCAAATGTTCAGGTACCGTTTGAGAGAGACTTGTTTCGTTGATAAAATTTAGTGAGTATGGTTTTACGCCGCTTTTCGCAATATTCCAGCAATATCACTGTCAGGGACACCACAAATAGGCTTCAAACTTTGTACCCATGTTGGGAATTGAACCTGACTCTTCGGCGTGACAGGTGAATGCTATAACCAGTAGGCTACCCCAACACCCCTGATGAAATATAAGAATGACAGTATATGATAAAGAGCTTTTCATGCTTGAGTGTTTTGGGATGGTAAATAACACAAGGCTCGCAAATAACAATATTTATTCATAAAACAGGATACTTACCATCCCTAAACAAAACTTGTATAATAACCCCTATTTATCACAAATTGAAAATTATATAATTAATTGTATATTATTAAACTTATTGTATCTCACACTTTGCATTTCTTCCTTCTATTTTCGACCAAGGTGTGGAAATGTCCATGAAAAAAGTTTCCAGCTTCAAAACAAATTTCACCCTAACACATACCTTCATCTCCATGGTAACCACCTAAACAAATGGGTCACACACAGCAATCCTGTGCGATGCGATGCGACCCGACACTATGTGGTCTTTTTGTGTGCAGTTTCAAGAAAGAGTACCTATTAGTTTTAGAGATGTGGTCTGGACAAACCCACCACAATGAACACAGTCGAAGTCAAACTTGTTGCCATGGAAACAGGAAACAATTAAAAAAGAATTAAAATCCTAAATAGCAAAAGGCACCACTTAAGACCTTGGTAAATACATGTACCAAGTTTGGAGTTCAAGTTGTGTTCTGGAAAAGACACCTTCCCCTCCCTTTTGAGACTAAGTCCAAAATGTTTCCATGGAAATCGAGAAGAATAAAAATTCCAAAAATCAGCAATTATCAAAAGGCTCGACTACAGGATCTGTTTGATATATCTGCCAAGTTTTGTTAAAAGACATAAATATGTTTTTTGAGTTGTCCTCCGGAATGAAATCCACCCCTTTAGAGACGAAGTACAAGTTGTGGAAATTGGAAATTGAGAAAAATAAAAATGCCTTAACTCCATAAATAGCAAAAGGCACTACTTCATGATATGTTTGATATATCTGACAATTTCCATTGAAAAATATTGAATCGTTTTCAAGCTACGCTCCGGAAACAAAATGATGACGGACAGATGGACAGACAGATGAGGCATTGACTATATCTCCCCGCATTACAAAAGGCAGGGTTAGAAACTAACAGTTTTAGACCACTAGTCCTTATAATGATAACATATAGCAAAACCCTTAAAATGGGTCAATTTCTACTAGTCCTTAGGATACCTTTACTACTGGGCAGTTTGGTAAGAACTACAGGACTAGTGCCAATTTCTAACGCTGCAAAAGGTGAGATGAAATGAGGTCCAAGATTATTGCACTCATATACGCGTGCATGCACATACTAGTCTGGACTGATGCCAATTTATAGTGCTAGCACACTGAGATACTATGCCCCAGTTTAACATGAATACCCCGCTCAGACACAGCATACAAACTCCGAGCAGACCAGTCCTTGTTTTAGCCCCTTAATGCCGAGCGCCAGACAGGGTAACAATAAGTACCATCTTTTAACGTCTTTTGGTATGACCCGGTTTGAGAAGGTATACCTGCTGATATCCCACAGACAGGAGTTGAGAATAACAACATCAGGCCTTGGTTCATCACTCAAGTCGGCGAGGATGCTCTCCATGTAAGCGTTGTAGCAGCGGCAGACGAAGTAGAAACGGATGAGGTTGTAGTCAGACAGGTACTGTCGCACCTCACGGTAGTTGGTGCCATTAGACATCTTGCCCTTCTTGCCTCCTTCGATCAGCTCATCCTTCTCAAAGGTCATCTCACCCTGCATCAAGGTGAGAGGTGAAAGGTCAGAAGCAAAAAACAGGAAAACTTGTCAAAGAAGAAATAAGTATCGGTATGTTTGAGGTCAGTTGATATTTCATGTCAAAGTAGCTGCTTTTATCATTTTACATTTCAAAACTTTATTCCTTCATGAAGCTGTGCTTGTTTCGCAACACTTGTGTAAACTTTTATTGCTATTTATTATCCCTTGCTTCTCAATGGTAGAGTGAGTGAGTGAATTGGGTTTAACCCAACAGTATTCCAGTTACCGTATTCGACGTAATAAGTGCCCCGCTCTAATAAGCGCCCAAGGCGATATTTGCTAATATATTGGCTCGTGAACAATCCCAATTAGCACCCTTTCCGATTTATCAATGTACACAATACTTATTTATTCACGTATAATACGCACCCTTAATTATGGGCAATTAAATTCTGGAAAAATATATCTCTCGTATATAAACATTTCAGGCTGTCAGCATAAACCACAAAATTTATCTTTCAACTCTGTTATTTTTCCGACAAAATAATATTCTAATAAGATCCCCCTATTTCTAATTTTGAGTGAGTGAGTGAGTTTGGTTTTACGCCGCTTTTAGCAATATTCCAGCAATATCACGGTGGGAGATCTAATTTTGAGAGCGCCCTGGGCGCTTATTACGTCGAATACGGTATATCAACGGCGTGTCAGCTCAATGTGGGAGGAAAGCACGAAGTGATGCAGGTCTCAGACGTTTATCACTTCGGTGAAACCCACGAGCATGGGTATGGTACTGACAAACCTAGAAACATAATCAGGGTGAACCGGGATTTGAACCCACAATCCTAGGTTTCTGGCGTGCCCAAGGGCCGCAACTCTGCACAGCGAATCGCAGCGCTTTAGACGACTAAGCCACCTGTGCCCGTGCCCCCATATTATCTAAGAGTGTGAATATTACCACAGTGATTAGATGGTATTTCGTGGACAATTACAGAACAATTCAGCTAATAAGATAACACGCTGACTAGATTCCTCATTAGGGTCTGCGATTTAGCTGATAGCGTGTCACTGTGCCTCGACTGCAAGGGGCGCTACTCATGGTTTCAGATACTGATGTCTGATTCTGACGGGAATATGTTTTGGGTGACGTGATATAGTTGAATGCAAATGATACATTTGAAAAATGAATATTACAAATATAGACCGCCTCAGTGGTCTAGTGGTAGAGCGTCCGCACGGAAAGCAGAAGGTGCGGGGTTCGATCGCCAGTCGCGTCATACCAATAGACGTTAAAAGATGGTACTTGTTGGTACACTGCCTGGTGCTTGCCTTAGACGCCTGGGCTACCCATGCCTCCTTTTCAATGGTAGAACATCTGCACAAACACTTAGAAGTGGCATTTTTTCTCACTACAATCAATCATAGACACTTATACATTATCACTACCTGTCAATTATTGAACCATCAGGACCAATAAGATCGAACAACCTGTTCTAATAAATCATCATAGTTTATTAGTTTCTTTAAAGAAAATTGCTAGCAAGAGTTTTGGCACCTGTATATTTTGAGTTAGTGAGTTGCGTTTAACGCGGCTTTTAACAGTATTCCAGTTATATCGCGGCGTGTCAGCTTAATGTGGGAGGAAAACACGAAGTGATGCAGGTCTCAGACGTTGACCCTATATATTTTGTTTTGGTAAAACGAAATGCGGGAGCAATGTGAAATACATTCAAAATCAGGTTCTCTTCTTTTGACGAGAGTATTCGATAAAACAACTGATGGTGTAAACTACATAATGACGGAAATTATATTAGGGGACGGGTTTTAACGACCCACTGGAGATCTCGTTGTACCACAAATAGATAGATAGAGTGAGTAAGGTTTAACGCTGCTTTTAACAGTATTCCAGTTATATCGCGGCGTGTCAGCTGAATGTGGGAGGAAAGCACGAAGTGATGCAGGTCTCAGACGTTGACCCTATATATTTTGTTTTGGTAAAACGAAATGCGGGAGCAATGTGAAACACATTCAAAATCAGGTTCTCTTCTTTTGATGAGAGTATTCGATAAAACAACTGATGGTGTAAACTACATAATGATGGAAATTATATAAGGGGACGGGTTTTAACGACCCACTGGAGATCTTGTACCACAAATAGATAGATAGAGTGAGTAAGGTTTAACGCTGCTTTTAACAGTATTCCAGTTATATCACAGCGTGTCAGCTTAATGTGGGAGGAAAGCACAAAGTGATGGTCTCAGATGATTACCACTTGGGTGAAACCCATGAGCACGGGTATGGTGCTGACAAACCTAGAAACATAATCGGGGCGAACCAGGATTCGAACCCACAATCATAGGTTTCTGGCGTGCCCAAGGGATGCAACTCTTGCCTTAGACGACTGGGCCACCCGTGCCCCCTGTACCTGTATATAACAGATACCACAATACTATGTAGCACAAACAGCAACTGCTCACACTTTAAAATCATATGATAGTGTTTTTCTTTCAGTCGTTTGTTATAGTTATATGATGTTTGGTTAACTTTCAGGCTGACCCTAATTATTTTCATACATTATGAGGAAATGGAAAATTTAATATTAAATTTGGAATTTTTACTCTCATGGTTGCAGCAGACTATTTGCATCTGAGCCGGCCTAGATGTCATAACGATCCCTTGACTTCCATGCTTAGTTTCGAACACTGGATTAACTGTACTGTTTGTATCTTTGTTACTTAATGCCACACTAAGCAATATCCCAGCTGTATAAAAGCAGCTTCTAAATAATCAAGTCTGGACCAGACAATTCAGTGATCCAATATTGTGAGCAATGACCATGCCATTTGGGAACAATGGCCATAGGCGATTCCAGGGGGGGGGGGGGGGGGTCTAGTGGGTCCTGACCCTTTTGAAAACCAAATGCAATATGTTGCAAGGCTGAAAAATTATATGTGGGATGTTTTTGATATTTTAGACCCTCCCTTTTAAAAATGCTGGATCTGCCCAAGTCACAGAGTCAGACCAGACAATCCATTGAGTCACCTCATACTACCAGCATGGGGTCCTAACCGTCCTATAGGGAGCCATTCTAACCGAGCATCCCCAATGGGTATGTAAAGTATGGTACTGCAGTGGTTACCTTGTTGCGGAGGTTGCCATCAGTCAAGTATCTGTTCTTCTGGAGCAGCAACACCACATCCTTGTACACAGCTCGCTGGACTGGAGGTACAATTAGCATGGGCATTACAGTCAAGCTGGATTTAATACATCTTCCCGAGACAAGGGCATTTACTGACTATGAAAGTGCAGTTCTCACGCTTGCAGAACGAGGCTGGAATTTCATGGTTCGATCGAAGCACCACCAGTGGCTTTTATGAATTATGTCCCTTCTATGTCCCTCCTACTGACAAATCAGATTCCATCTCTCATATCACTTGCATTTGGTTCAAACAAAATGGCAATGCCCAGTCAAGATGATCTGATCCATGATCAAGATCTATGTTGTAATAAAACAGGTCTTACCCCACGAAGTGCATCAAGTCACTTTAGCCTCTGGATTAAAAACATGTAAAGATGTGCAAAATATAATGCTGACACCCCGTTGACAGTACACATGCTTTGCAAATGCTGCAGTCAACCGAAATCTGCACATTGAAATCCATGATGTTTACAAACCGGATGTCTTGTTTGTTAGCGATTTTGATTGGAGTATGGATAGACTTGATAATCCAGCTAAAATGTAACTCCAGGATTCTAGCCTTGTTCGACAAGGTTCGAAACTGGACTTAAATAGTCCGTTAACGCCCTTGCCTCAGGAAGAGGAGTTTAAGATTCATCCTCGTTCAGGGACTTTCACCTGAATTGGGTCCTGAGATCCTTCTTGTCTTCTCTAAAGGAAATATGAATTGAAAGAGGCCCAAAGTATCTTTGAACTATTAACAAGAGGGTTATGACGATGACCCCTCGACTTTCATGCTATATTTGGAACACTTACTACTACATAGGTACAGCGTCAGAAACTAACAGTTTCAGTCCACTTGTCCTCAAAATGATAACATAGCAAAACCCTTAAAAATGGCATATTTCTACCAGTCCTTATGATACCTTAGCTACTGGGCAGTTTGGCAGGGACTGTAGGACTAGTGCCAATTTCTAACACTGAAGTGGGTGGTGACACTTACTTGAGTCACCAATGATGACCACAAACTTGTTGTACAGGAGTTTCTCCACATCCTGGCGAAAGAATATGTCCCCCATGGCAATCTGAAACCAATATCATATCATATCACATAGGATTATGCAGTTTGCAATTTTAGTCATAATTCTGAAACATATGGGTCTGGTATAAGTTCTCATGGCCTCATAATAACATAAACCTGATTAACTTATGGAAAATACACATAATTCCTGCAATGCCAGGAGTCATACACAGATTAATAAAAATCCTTCTGAATCTCATTCAGTTTTGAAAAAAAGGCGTGAAAAAAAGACAAGATTTTATAACTGGCCCAAACTCAACGCATGGGCAAAATAAAATGTTTTCTGTGCAGACAAAAAGTGATCTGTTCATCGCCCAAAATATACAGTACCAACCTGAAACTGCCACTGCTGAGTAGTCATATCCATCAACATGATACAAATAGCCTTAGAACAAAATATTCAACACGGATAGATACCATTGGTCATATTCAATTAAATCTCATCTCTGACTAGTCGTAGGGAATATAGATCTACCGCCCAAAGTCTTTCCCCATGTTTATACGGTAAAGCGTAATATCACGAGATTTGGGGGAAAACAACGTGTACCTCTTTCTCTACTTTAGTGACCTTGTGTAGCCCTGACAATCCTCTACAATTCCAAAAACTGTCGGACCCTAAATATCAGTCATAAAGATGACGACGTGTAACAATATGTCAGGTAGTCGGAGGTCTTTAGGAACCTAACATTTCTGACAAACGACTCTGTGAGCTCAAGATATAAGGCAACAGCAGCCTGAACAATCGTGTAAGCTAACCAAATTAGACCTTCCCTCTTCTGTCGTCTGCAATAGATCAATGACATTATTTTTGGAACGGGGCAATTCAGTCTTGACTGCAAATGTTCCAAACACAAATGCTGTCAACATGTCAGGGTAGCCTATGGAAGCATGCCGAGTTTGAAGTTTCATTGAAGTTTACTTTGATCTGTCACAACTGGTGTTGTATCAGTGACAACAGCAATTAAGACATTCGGCACACAGACAAACTTCAACGGCTGGACCATTCACACCTACAACGCTCTCACCTTTATTTCATATGATGTCACTCGGTTGTTCGTGAGATACGCAAGTCTTTTCGAAGAGGCTTTGAATATAACCTTGGACCAGTCCATTTAGACGGTAGGGAGCGTGCGATGGGGAGTGTCACCTGTCACTTATTTTGGATATCTATTCTATGTCGAACGTTGAAAAGTGGTGTGTAAGTTAAACCTTACACATGTGCATATCAAATAACTGCTTAAAAGTTTGTTTTATCAAACTAACATGACCAGTCTTGTGTTTTCATGATTTGGCATAATGTGGACTATTCCATTTTTGCATCGCACCCGGAATATCAGTTGCGGATGCCTTTGGCGCGGAATCTGTGCGTTTGATTCTCATGCAGCAAAGATTAACAATTCTCACAGATAATGGAATTCATTTATTAGTTTTAAAAATCAAAAGTTATTGGAAATAGATTATGTATTTAACAATGTAATGTAAGAACACCACGCTCTGGTTTGTGTGTAAAAATATTTCAAATTATCTTCTCTTTTCCGACACAAGCATAGCTAGGTCTTATACTATTTGTAAGACGACGATAACATGTACTAAAACTGTTATTTTGGCTCTGCGTGATGAAAAAAATAATAACAGAATTCATATGATTGATATCCAATTAGATCAGCACCAGCTAAGAACAGTGTTCGAAATAACTGCTTGCCCGCCTGCCCGTGGATGGTAACTTTTCTGTTGGGCTGCATGAAATTTTTTCCACCTGCCAGATAATTTTAAGACTATAACATATTCAGTTTTATTATAACTCCTCACATATTCTCAAGTAATTGTTTGCATTATTTCAACTGAATCACGATGCGATATATTTATTAGTATTCGAGATTTTTCAATATTTATAATGTCTGAATGCGGGCAGGTAACTTTGAAGACGGGCAGGCAACACTTATGGGTCTCTTGCCCTATGGTCTTGTTGGGTTTCAAAATTGGCTAAGAAAATAGATCTAAATTCAGCTATAGTAAGGGAGGTTTTCTATGTCCCAACTTTTGGCCGAATATGTGAAATCTTGTTGTGTCTTGAACGATATCCGTACCCGCCCCGTAACACAGAAAGCGGAATTGTGCTTGTCACAATATATGTAATAAACGCGGCTGTTTGTCATACAGGATTTGTTATTTACATGTTTGTTCTACTTTTTACAGATATGTACACACAAATAAGTTCAAATAGTTGTACCGATGTTATAATTATAATAGGTCAGTGTGTGTCTGTTTTAATTATGCTTTTGAACTGTTTCCAGATATATATTTTTTTTTTCTTGTGTTTATATACTAATGTGTTATAATATTCTATAATGTATATGGTCAGCATCTTTCATATACGAGTTAAGACTGTCACAAAGAACATATATGGCTTTTATTGAAAGCATAATAATTTTACATTCATTTTTTTCTGAATCCAGACCCCCATCTGCCACCAATCCCCCCGTCCCCCGTCCCCACCTACGACCTCAACCCCGCCCACCTTTCCCTCTCCCCCTCCTAAACAGATTATTCCCAGTCCCCGACTCCCCAACCCCAATGGCCTTGACTTGCAGCGCAAGGTGTGACGTTCTGATGACAACGTTTACCGCATCCAGGATTCCTGGTGTCAGACACCCCGGTGATTCTCACAACCGAGGGGTGATGGGAGCAGATACGAGATAACTAAGCCCCATAAATAACAGGATTGGACACAAACTAGACACGAGCTGGACACATCGGAGCAAGTCTCGTAAACAGACAGTCAAGAGCAATTTTGCTGTATAAACACATTGTAAGTGTCAATCAAATTGGATTATCAGTGGCTGGGATGAGGGACTTCCCGTCTTCAGCCTCTTACTGTTTTACAAGCATGACTCTAAACAAGCAGCTCCGATCTTTCAACATGCTCTCACAGGGAGAGTCTCTTGTGTCAGATGTGTCATGAAAATAATTATAAACAAAACTGACATTCATTCATTCATTCATTCATTCGTTCATTCGGGGGCACGGGTGGCCCAGTCATCTAAAGCGCCGCGATTCGCTGTGCAGAGCTGCGTCCCCTGGACACGCCAGAAATCTATGATTGTGGGTTCGAATCCCGGTTCGCCCCGATTATGTTTCTAGGTTTGTCAGCACCAACCCGTGCTCGTGGGTTTCACCGAAGTGGTAAACGTCTGAGACCTGCATCACTTCGGGCTTTCCTCCCACATTTAGCTGACACGCTGTGATATAACTGGAATACTGTTAAAAGCGGCGTTAAAACTCACTCACTCACTCCTGCATTTCGTTTTAACAAAACAAAATATATAAAGTCTCTCGGTATGTTCGAGAATGTATCGCTATATGTGTAAGTGTTCCGTATTTCTTTGTTAGTTTCCAAGAGTTGTTGGGAATGTTGCCACAAATTTACAACATTTCAAACATGCTAGGGGTCATGTGGTTGCAAGTTAATTTCTTACCCCACGCTTCATTGAAACAATTTATTTTTACGCAAAATTACCCACCCACAGATTACTTTTTACAAACTGTTGCAGGAATGAGTGATGTTTAAATAGACATATAGTCAAATTTGGCAACGTTGTTCATTCAATTTTCATTTGCACACAAAAACAATCTCGGTATGCTTCTTTTGTCCCTTAGTTTATTACCTCACAAGCGACGTGCTCCAAGATTTGTTAAAACGTGTTTGTTACTGTCAATGTGTTAAATGACTGACATTTTCATTTAGGTTTACAAAAAGCCTAAATATATCAGTCCTTTTTCAAATTAAATGAACAAACTATGTTATAATGATAACGAATTCCAAACATTTTGATGTTGAATTTTATGTATATTTTATATTTGTTTTGGCTTCTCGTCCTAACATAATTAGTCTTTTGTGGTGTTTTTAAGCCCTTTTCAATTTCTTAATATTATTTAGCCAACATGTCAAATATATAGACAATTTTCAATCAATTTTTTAAACGACTGAAATATTTAGGAATTTTGTAAATTGCCAAAGTGAATTACATTTTACATTGGCAGTAATCTGCATTATGTATTGGTAATCTGAAGAAAGTTACAGGAAAATAGGTTACACAAAAATATTATAGATTTGGGTAGGAAAATAATATACAGGACAAAAGTTTTAAAACTCAAATTATTTATGGCATTCTTGGAATTTTATTTGATACACAATATTTTATATACATAACACCGTATTTAATTCATAGTTGAATGTTGCTTGTGGAGTCTGATATTACAACCAACTCCTTGCAGAAATTCAACAACAGATTTTCGGCCTTCAGAGATGTCCAGGCGCAAATTCCTAAAGGTTTTTGAAGACGGACTAACTTCCTCTTCACCCTCTTCACAGAAGGACTGCCGATGACATCTTGTGTTAGACGGTGGCGATGGTTTCATTTTCAATCTGAAACAATTCGATGGTTCGCCACACGATGGGATGGCGGTAGTCCTGTACCCTGACTGTGGAATATATTTATTTTATGAAAAAAACAAAAACGATCTAGATATGTATACAAAAGCAAGCTTAGTCAGCGCTAGCCAGCTCTATTCCACAAAATCGGGGGAAATTAGTTGAGAAGGGTATTGTGCAAAAATGTTTACAATAATTTATGCATTTATCGATACAATTACAATTTTCGGTAACTCTTTTTCTTGCACCTTTTCTTCCGACAATCCATGTATTTTAGCAGATTTCATGTACAGCAGCTTCATTTGTTTTAACTATCTTGCATGAAGTGGGGATTTCAATACAAATATACACTCAGCTTCTATACAAAAGAGGCGTGCGTTAATATCTGCATATATTATGATTATGTATATTCTCTGTGTATACTGTTTGTATACTCTGTGTCAACGCTTGCTTTGAATACTAAAGGGGGGAACGGAAGGGGGTGGGGAGGGTGTGTGTGTGTGTGTGGGGGGGGGGGGGGGGGGGGGGGGGGTCGTACCTAACGTTTCGATCCATAGCTTGTGTCACCAGTGACATCATTGGAGAGGGCGGAGGGGTAATACTGATAAAGACAAGTATTGCGGGCGTGCATGCATGGGGGGGGGGGGGGGGGGGGGGGGGGGGATTATGCAACTGTGTCTAGTAACGCAAAGGAAAGATATGTTGAATAAAACAGGAAAATATTGCGAGCATGCATGATTGGGTGGAATATTTGTGCGGTGGTGAAAGTGAGGGATATCACTATCCCCTAAGAATTCCACGCGAGTGTCTTTGGTCCTACCTGACACATGCGCATTTTATATGTTGATCTGTCATTGGTGTCCCGGTGTCCACGAGTGAGTGAGTGAGTTTGGTTTAACGCCGCTTTTAACAGTATTCCAGTTATTTCGCGGCGTGTCAGCTTTATGTGGGTGGAAAGCCCGAAGTGATGCAGGTCTCAGACGTTTACCACTTCGGTGAAACCCACGAGCACGGGTATGGTGCTGACAAACCTAGAAACATAATTGGGGCGAACCGGGATTCGAACCTACAATCATAGGTGTCTGGCGTGCCCAAGCGCCGAAACTCTGCACAGCGAATCGCGGCGCCTTAGACGACTGGACCCGTCGTATAGTTTGGATATTGCTCAATGCGGCGTTAATCAAACAAACAAACAAACATGTAAGCTGTTATTGTCCAGCCAGATGTTTAGAGATTTTATAAGCACCTATGGAGATATATTATTGAAATATTTTGAGCTGTAAGCAAGGATGAAACAGAAATGATATAAAATATTCCATGGCATGCCGTCATCTCGTCATATACAGTAAACTACGTTTATAACGATCACGCTTACAACGAACCGACGGATATAACGAACTGTTTCTTGGTACCGTCCATTTTCTCTATATATGTTGTACATATGCTTATA